CTCTGCTGGGGAAAGCAGGCCAGGTACTGTTAGCGTTTCTTAGCTCCAAACCAGCTATAGTCAGCTGCTGGGGGCACTGCAGACTCCATGCCTGTTCTGCCAACTGCTCCTGGTGAGCTCTGCCAGGAGGGGCAGAGGCCAGAGGAAGAAGGAAGGAGAGCACGCCCCACCCCCCCCCACCTCCCGCCACATACACACACACCCCTCCCCGCTTCACCTGGGCAGAAGCAGTGGAATGGGTTTGCAGTTGCAGTTTTCCCAGCTCTTACAGAGCTGGCCCCATGGACACCAACCCACAGCTGGAGCCTTCTCCATAGAGGCCTGAGGTTCCCTTCTGTGGGGCCCTCCTCCAAGCCTCTCAGTTTTAATAATTCTAACTTCTTTTCTTTACTCCGCCAGCCTTAAGGGTGATAGCTGCTTCCTGCAGTTGCTACTTTCCATCATCTTAGAGTTTCCTTTTGGCCTTTGCAATCATCTACATATCACTTTATATTAAATTCCCTTTGTGAAAATAACTGGGCGGTTCCTGCCTCCTGACTCGACTCTGACTGGTACACGGGCAGAGCTGGGATTCACACCCACGTCCTTCTCCTGGTTCAGGACTCTCCGTGTTGGGATCCATTACAGGTTCAATCAATGAATAGTACACCGAGTTCCCTCCATTCATCAGTTCTCACTTTAATCAGATGTTTAGGATTCCCCACCACCAATAACAATAACAACAAATTATCTCCAAATCACAACCTAGACTTCCTGCCTTCCTGTGTTAATCTCTAGCACGGGGCTTCCCAAACTTGGCGCGTCTTGGCGCCCATGTNTTTTTTTTTCCTTTTTTTTTTTTTTTGGTAGTGGCAGAGCCTTTGATTCAAATGAAAGCTTCTATAGAAGCCCCTTAGCACAAGGCATGATCCCTCCAGGGAAACAAATTAGCATTTCATCAAAAGGCTTCCCAGAGACCAGGTATTTTACTCAGCTCAGGAGAGTGTGGGGGTTCCTCGCAGGGGAAAACTGGACGTGCCCCCGCTCCTGGCTCAAACAGAGCAGATGTGTGTATGTTTTAAAAGGTGAATGGATGAGCAAACGGTGATCCAACCACACGATGAACTATTATTTAGTCCTAAAAAAGGAAGGACGCTCTGATACATGCTACAACTCTGATGAACCTCAACAATGTTATGCGTATTAACCAATGTCACCCCAATAAATGTGATTTTTATATGTTATTCTCAGTGAAGGAAACCGGACACAATAGGTCACATAGTGTGTGACTGCATTGATCTGAAATGTTCAGAATGAGTAAATCCAGAGAGACAGAAGCCAGACCGATGATTGCCAAGGGCTGGGGGAGTGGGGAGTAACTTGATTTCAGGGTTTTATTTAGGCGTGATGAAAATGTTTTAGAGCTAGATAGAGGTAGTGGCTGCACAATACTGTGAATGTATTAAATGCCACTGAATTGCTCACTTCAAAATATTTAATTTTATGTTATGTGAATTTCATCTCAATTTTTTTTTTTTTTTTTTTTTTAGGGTTGGCATACCCAGCTGAGACTTTATTTTGGAAAAAACCACTTGACTTGGCTTTTAGTTGGGAGCATGGGTAAGAGGCGGTCCCCCAGGCAGTAGACACCTCCCTCAAGGGTGGGCCTAGGACTGGGGCACCTCCTGCGCCCAACCCTTCCTTGCTCAGCTCCTTTCCCACAAGGTCGGAAGCCAGGAAGGACCCCAGTAGCCTAGCCTTTTACTTGGGCAGATGACTCAGACACCAGTTTGCCATCTCTAGTCTCAATTTTCTTCACAACCACGGTCTTGGAGGAGCTGGTGCTGGTGCAGCTGGAGTAGCCAGAGTCCCTGCCAGAGCTGAAGTTGGACTGGAAGTTTAAGCCGTAGTTGAAGCCAGGGCTTGCGACGTTCCCATAGACTGGGCTCATCAGCCCACCTGCGTTGCCGCTGGTGATCTTGGTATAGATACTCATGTTTTGCATCCCAGACTCCAGCCTGCTCTCCTCCCCCTCCAGCAGCTTCCGATAGGTGGCAATCTCCACGTCCAGGGCCAGCTTGACGTGCATGAGCTCCTGGCACTCCTTCAGCAGCTGGGCCAAGTTCTGCCTGGCGGTTTTCAGAGCAGCCTCCAATTTGGCGACGTTGGCCTGAGCCTTCTTGATGGCCATCTCCCCATGCTGCTCAGCATCAGTGATGGCAGCCTCCAGAGAAGCCCTCTGGCCTTTGAGGGCATCGATCTCAGCCCGGATTCGGCTGATGTTCCAGTTCATCTCAGAAATCTCCGTCTTCGTGTGACGCAGGTCATCCCCATGCTTCCCAGCCAACGTCCGCAGCTCTTCGTACTTGATCCGTCAGCAATGATGCCGTCCAGGTCCAGGAAGCAGTTGTTGTCCATGGAGAGGACCACGGACGTGTCGGAGATCTGGGCCTGCAGCTCACGGATCTCCTCGGCAGACAGCTTCCTGAAGAAGTTGATCTCATCAGTCAGCCCTTCCAGGTGGGACTCCAGCTCTACCTTGTTCATGTAAGCTTCATCCACATCCTTCTTGATGAGGACAAATTCGTTCTCCATCTCTGTGCGCTTGTTGGTCTCATCCTTGTACTTATTCTTCAAGTCCTCCACCAGCCCCTGCATGTTGCCAAACTCCAACTCCAGCCTCAGTTTCTCCTGAGCCAACATGTCCAGCTGCCGCCAAAGGTCGCTGATGTAGCTCTCGAACATGCTGTCCATGTCGCTGCGAGTCATCATCTGCTGCTGCAGGAAGTGCCACTTGGTCTCCAGGACCTTGTTCTGCTGCTCCAAGCTCCGCACCTTGATGAAGGAGGCAAACTTGTTGTTGAGACTCTTGATCTGCTCCTTCTCCTGGTTGCGCATGTCCTGGATGTTGGGGTCCACCTCTAGCTTCAGGGGGCTCAACAGGCTCTGGTTCACTTGGACAGCTGTAATGATCTCCATACTCCCAGCCCCACGGTAGCCCCCGGCCAGATTCATGTTGATGCCCAGAGCAGGCCGGTAGCCGCCGCCTGCCTGGAAAAAGGGCGAGGAGCTGATGCGGGATCTGGTAGAACTCGAGTACGAGCGGCTGCTGAAGGCCCGGGGGCCAGAGGAGGACACTTGTAGGTCTTCTGGGTCACCCTTGTGGACATGGTGGAGGCTGGAGTGGAAGCAAGGAGACAAGGAGACGGAACCAGACAGAGACTTGAGAAGGAGCCAAAAAGCTGCTTCTAAGTGAGGGACAGCGTGGCCCTCTTATCTCAATTTTTAAATGTGCGTATGTTTCCAACTTGGGGTTTTGCATAATATATTGTTTGAAAAAGAATTCCACTACTAGGGGTGAAAGTTTGAAAGTTGTTTCTTTTGTGTTTATTAACACCACATTTCTGTACAATGAAGGATTTGAAGGATGAGAAACAAGAGTGTTTGCTTTCCCAAATCACAGGAGAACTTTTCTAGGGAGGAGAATCTTTACAAGTAAAATATCTTGAAAAGATTGGATGAGCTAATTGGGAATGAAGAGAGGCCCCAGGCCAGTCTGCAACAGGCAGGCGAATGTAATGAAAGCCTTGACAAAACTAGGGGAGAGCTGAGGGCTCGCTTCTGAGGGGAGGGGAGAAGGTGGGAGAGCAAGGATGGCCAACCAACATGGCAGAGTCCCTAGGACTTTGAAGGTGGGTAATGATCTGTATTCCATTTTCAGTTGTGGACATTTCGGCAACGTGAATTCCCTCATGAGCCACCCTCTCCATCAACTCTGCATCTCACAGCCTCACTGTTACTGTCACCACCGGCCCCTGGACCACAGCAGCTGGATGCTGGGTGTTATTGCCACCACCTGTCCCAGCTGGATGCTGGCTGTCCTGGCCACCACCCGCTATCAAAGAAGCTGTCACTTCCACTGGAAGGGAGAGCAAACGAATATTCAGACTTTTCAGCTTCCATCCCAGGACCTAGTGCTCTGTCTCGTATAATGACAGATTGCCCAGGCACGGGGAAGGTGCACATTCCTTAGCCATGACCTTTCTCTGAGCGGTACTTGAATAAGACCCCAGCATCAGTCTCCATGACTTACAGCTGTCTACGTGTGTCGTGGCCAATCAACTTGCGTCTCTTTGTGCTGTCTTCCTCTAAGCCGGACATGAAGCACCTGACCAGGTTTCCATTCCCCCACAGATGGCTAAACACAACTATCCCTTCGTAGGCTGCACATAGAGGGTTGTGTTGGGCACCAGACCCCAAGGCCGATTGCCGCAGTGTGAACACTGACTCCACCCCTTGCCCGATGTACCGATTGACAAATTGTTTAACTTCTCTGTGCTGAGTTTTGTCATTTCTCAAGTGGGAATCACGTGGCTGTGGTGAGTTCACTTCTGTAAAGCTCTTGGAAGAGATTAAGCACTAGATAAACTGTTGACTATGATAATATTATTGGCAGTGGGTTTCTTGGGGCAATGAAACTGCACTTCTTCAAAAATGAGTCATGGTTTAGGCTTCTGATTAATTCCAGGTGGATGGCCACAAACAAGACTGAATGCTCCGAGTTTTCTTCGACCTACTGTTCTATGTATCGAATATAAAGAGCCAGCTAACCCTCAGCCTCATCTCCTGCAGATTAAAATATGAAATTCATTTTAAAAGACAGTTGTTTAAAAGACAGAATTTTTATTTTCAACTGGTGCGCCGGAGACACATCATCGCAGCCACAAAAGGCCCTGAATATAAACCAGGACATTCTTTGATTCCTTAATTCGCGTATTTATCCAGTCCATATCAAACTCTTTTTGGGTACCAAGCACTGAGGTGCTCATGTTCCTTGTAACAGTTACAGCAAAGCTATGGGGTAGGTATTTTCTTTTATTATGAAAAAACAACTGAAGCCCAGAGGTGGCAAGTGGCATGGCCAAAGGCCAGCAGAGAACAAGAGGAAAGATGGCGCCCAGTGGGCCCCACACCGTGCATGGGATGAATGACGCAATGTTGCTGCCTTGGACGATTTTGGTAGAGAGTTCAGGGGTAACTGCCTTCACCTCTTGTCTACTTAATTCTATAACAGAGCGGGGGTTTTCTAGCTATTGGCAACTAACACTGGTTTGGAAGGTCCCAGACTATGGGATCCTCCTCACTGATCAGATAGCAGGTCCAGGTTTGGGACGCGTGACTGACTGTCATAGCTGAGACAGACAAGCAGGCCTCGGTAAACAGAAGCATTGCTGAGAGGAGCCAAGAGCATAATTGGGGAAATGGGGCCCAGGGCTGAGTCTGAAAGAGTTGGGGACATGGAAATGTGACAACCAGCTAAACTGTGCAGCAGCTGCACACAGAAGGAGGACATGGCTCAGAACACAAAGTGCAATGCCAGGCCAGGCTAACGTCCCGTTTTACAGGCTGGGGGTGGGTGGGGTGCAGGGAGCTGGGGAGTCCGAGGCAAGATCACACAGGCCCTGTTTTATCGATGATAACACGGAGGCTCAGAGAGGTTTTGCAACTAACCTCCCACTGTCCTATGAGAACAGCCTACTGAGATTTGTTGATACATCAATCATACCAAGTTTTCTAGTTTGGGTTTTTTAGTCTCTACTGAAAAAAACTTTCTTTTATGTGATAGAAATGTATCTGTTTTAAAGGCTTAAGAAATATTGATTTTTCTCCTGCATTGAGTAATCTGGATCATGAGTGCTCGAGGGAATCTCAGAGATATCTTCTCCAAGAC